ATCGATTTTTTTGATATGGTCACAGCCACGTTCTAGAGCGCTGATCTACCGCCATGTTCCATAGTGTTTATGATTGCATCTCTTATATGTAGTTATAACATCCGATCAATCATATCCCATAATAACCACCTATCATTGAGCTATACTGATACATGTGGTATGGTAGAATATAATCTAATGTAATAGTGGTAACTGCGTACCGATCGCCTGGACACGATATAGCGAAGAAAGCATATGAGTGATGTCATTGAAGACTGCAACGAAAAAATGAGACATGCGGGTCCATGAGAGCACGAGAGCAGAAGAGTACTGTAGAGTTCGTGAGAGTAGTACATGGGCAGAAGACCGGGTGATGCAAATGCGAATGGACGGTAAAATGATGTGGTAGAGTGAATCCTAATACGATCGAGTGAAGGTTATAAGTATTGAACAGACTACGAGACAGTTGTGACTCACCTTGAATACTATTTCTTGCTTGCCTTGCGTTTCGGAGTCTTCTTCGGTGGAACAGCAGCATTCTTTCGTTTGCGCTTAGTAGGTCGAGTGATCTCTTCATCTTCTTCAGTAAGAGGGCTGTTATCATCGAAAAGGGCTGATGCGGAGACTTGCTTGCGCTTGTGTGAGTTATCAGGAGGATTGGGAGTAGGGGGGCGTGCAGGTAAGACTTCTTGCGCCTTGCGCGAGTCGACAGGAGGATCGGGGGTAGGGAAGCGCGCCACTCTTGAGGATGGGGGTAGGGAAGCACGCTGACTCTTGAGGAGACGAGGTGGCTAACGGAGGATATGGAGGCAAACTATCAGGGGGAGGGACGGACTTGCCATGCGACTCTTGTTGATTATCGAGTGCCGAAGATGGTGCAGATGATTTGTCTGAGGATCTGGAAGCACGTGCGGCGAGTTGCCGTTCCATTGCAATCATATCATCGTCCTCATGAACACTCTATGTTCGGAGAATGACAAGGCTTGGCGCCATTTTCATTGCCGAACAGTTTCCTATATCAATGAACAATTAGAACAAATACACAACACGAAAAATCACTACTCGTATAATGTCCTAGCAGGGGAGTTGACCCACCCTCGTCCTTCCTCCCCCGAATAAGATTTACAATCCTAGTATAGAAGTTAGTGTAATAGAAAAGACCATCGTGGTCTTTCCATTTTTCAAGCGAGCTAATAGCAAAGCGAGCCTGTAAATATAGACTGAGTAAATTAAGTCTGCGAAAAAAAAACTTACCTGAACCGCGGCATACGCGATATGCTCGGCCCCAACTTCTTTCATCCCATGGAGCTTTGCATTGCAAGTGCGAGTTCCACTAGAGACGCCAGCCTTGAGCGCAGACGATGGAGAGGTGAAGATATGTTTGATAACCTGTATGTATTAGAGTAGCCCAATATAATAATGAAAAACCTACCCGCTCCAAAAGATATCCGCGAAAAAGCCCTTCAATAATGTCTTCCGGGTCAAAATCTTCGCCCGCAGTGTTGCCTGGATAGAGAAAGGCGGGCCATAAGGCAGCGGTCACCTTTAAGGTCGCGCTATCGAACTTGTTCTTCATCCTGTAGAAATAACTTGTTAGTACAGATAACCTTAAGAAAAAAAACATACCCATGCGGATCCTCGATGTAGTCGACCAGATACTTAACTGGACAAAGTAATTTGCCCAGCTGGGCGTGATTAAAACCCATTAGAGCGCGGCTCTTGCTGTCGTCAGTGATGGGCGGACAGATAAGCTCTTTGTCCGGGTTTGGAGCGGCGTATGAGCCCATGTGAGACTTGAGACGACTTGCGTCCTCAGAGCGCGTATGGTTAATCATATTTTGCATCTGTAAATATATAGTTAGTTGCAATTGATGTAAAAAAACATACGCACCTCGCCAATGAGTTGCGCGAGCTCCTCGCATTTTTTTCTCCTTCCAATCAGAGTCCCAAGATAAGGGGCGTGTTCCATGACGTATTCGAACGTCCGCTTGTACCGTGCACGAGTGATATCGTCATTGAAAATTATGTTAGCATAGATATAAGTAGTTAGTGTGTGCATATATGCGGTCAGAGTGCGCATATATGCAGTCAATTGTACATACCAGGCGTCCAGGATCTTACTGCGGGCAGCCTTGATGTGTTCTTCTTCCGCTTCATCTCCGTCCTCGGCCTCGGCTTCTTCTTCTTGCTCCAAAAGTAGACTTACCTGGATCGTCTGCTTGAGATTGCAGAACATATCAAGTCCGCGTGGGATCCAACGTGCAATGTGGATGCACTGCTCCCGCGGCGTAAGGACTTTAGTGCGTGATCTCCTATAATCTCATCAAGATCAATATGAGATCGCATAAAATTCAATGAAAAACCTCACCGTTGTGTTTTTTCGGCCTTCTTTTCGGCTCTAACTGGGCTATGCATCCTATAGATAAGCTCTGTTTGGGACAACCGATATCTCTGAATGACTCACCTGGCCTTTTTAGACTTGCGTCCATTCTTATCAGACGCATCTAACACGTCTCTTCCACGTTTCCCGGATATCCGGGGTGGCGGTGTGCTCAGGTGGGTACTCACTTCCGATCTAGCAGAAGATCCCGCAGACGACTCAGAAGAGGAAGACGATGAGGTAGAATTGGCGTGATTGTGACGCGCCATAGTGGTGGGAGAGATAAAGATAAGGACGCGTTGTTAATGTTTGTTTGTTAGATTTATTAATAACATATCAACACCCCCTGAATAAAATACATGCATAGATGACATTGTATCAGTACATTGAGACTAACTAACTTTTGATCACGGTGGGATGGGAACACGAGCATGCGGATGAATTTACAATTGAGCAAGATTTACAAATGATATAGTACATCAGACGATATAGTACAGGACAAGAAATGAAAAAAAAATTATGAGGTTGCTGCCAGATCTTCTACTAAGTTCCCCTCATGGTCCTCCGGCGCTTCAGCTCTTTTCTTCACGTAGTAGTTCCATGGCGCAGTAGGATTCTCGGGGTCTGGATGAGGGTTCCCCAAGCGCCTAGTAAGAAGGCTGCAAGGGGATGCAGTTACAGGCCTTGAGAAAAATCAGTCAACAATTGTATTAAAAGTGCTGGAAACTTACTGGAAGTCTGGACCACCGATCACTGCGCCTAGATCCTCATCTTCAACCTTAACCTCAGCGATTCCGACCTCCGCATCTTCTGTCTTCATCTCCGCATCGTCCCCGTTACCGCCGTTCTCCTCTTCGTCGGATTCATACTCAGTGAGCGAGTCATCTGAACCCGAGTCGTGATTATTGGTTTGTTCAAGTTGCCGGATGTGAAAAACAATTTTCTGTTATAAATTAGATTAGTTTTTATAGATAGAGAAAAAAAAACCTTGGGGCTGGGAGAATCTAAGTGGACGTTGAAGCAGTAAGTGTTATTTAAGGAGATGGCATTTTGGATGTCGACGAATACAACATCCCCGAAGACGTTAACGACAGAGGTCCAGGCATCGGGGGCAGTAAGTACGTTAGCCATGGTATGAATGGTATTGATATGAATGTTTGATAAACATAGCCACAGACGAGGCGAGGACTTCATATCACGGAATATCCCAGCGGATGTTGAATTTGATATTCCCAGACATCTCGATCATTGATATCACATTATTTTCGATCGTATGACCTTACTTTTGATCGTATGTATTACTTTCGAATATATGCTTCAATGAGCTACCACATCCCACTCAAATGTCTATGTAAGTCAGCAATCCTTCACACATATCCTACTCAAATGTCTACTACAGGTCCTACCACATATCCCATTCAAATGTCTAATAGGTGAGTCGCAAATCTTCCACACTTACCACTCAAGTTTCTACTTTTACTAGGACTCCTTATCCTGAGATCCGCGAGATCTCACCTCCTCGGGGGTAAATATCCCGGCGAGGATTCACAGGATTCTCCAACGTGGAGTTCTGGCGACTCGCATTAGCGCGATCGAGCGCAGAGAATGTTGAAGGTACGTTCCCATCGAGTATTTTACATCGTGTAGTAGGACTAATGCTTCATTTCAGTCGTTTAATTAATGTAATTTCGCAGTAGAAGACCGTTTAAATATGATACAGCATTTCTGCAACTAGTGAGACCTCGTGAGGACGTGTCCCCCCCTTCTCCGCATTCATTTATTCCATGGTCAATGACCTCCGCTGCTTAGCTTGCAGCGCAACATTCGGCTCACGCAAGCAGCTGGCAGCACATTCAGGTCAATGTGCGCTCAATTTTTCCCTTACTGATCAAATTTTCAGTCGCAAACGCAAGGCAGATAAGAAGAAGAAAAAAGACAAGAGGGCTCGGCGCGACATATCCCCCGATCGTGTTCCTGACGATGTTTTCGTTCCAGATCAGCCCGAGATTCAGGACTCTATGCCTATCGATCAGGAAGGCGATTTTAATAATGATGTATGTATTAATTTGATATCTACAACAGGATTGTACTAACTACACATTTACTAGATTGAAATAAGTCGTGTGCCATCGCCCTCACCTCCACCTGTTGTCTCCCAGCGCTCTGGACGGAGAATACGCATGCCCGCCCGCTTTGCAGACTTCTTGCCAGGTTCAGCTACTCACCTGGCGCATATGCCGCCCTCTACCCGTCAGCAACACGAACATCACAATGATGTCAACACAGATCAACTCATGGACCCCCAGCCTCGTGCACCTTCCCCGGTACAGTCAGAACACGATGCCCCCCCGCTTTTCATACCATTTGAGATGGAACCTAATGCAGCAGGTCTCTACCGGGTTTATCCTACCCGCCCCAGCATACTCCCTATTGAAAATTCCCTCGAGAGTGTGACCGATGCACCCACACTCACTGGAGGTGATGGGGTTCCGGACTCGAGTCGAATCACCGAAGGATTGTCGTCCAAGGTGATCAAACAGGACGACCTCTACGCAGCCTTCTCCAACCCGACTTCTGGCCTCCTTATGGCTTACCATTACTCTGGAACCGGCCAGCAGTCAGTTGCAGAGTTGCAGCGGCTCGCCGGCTTCGTTGGTGATCCGTTATTCAATAATATTGATGCCGCTTCATTTTCCCATACCCAGGAATCCAAAAATATTGACGCCTACCTGGAGAAGAAGTCTAATCCGTTCCGCCAGGAATATGGCTGGCGCCAATCTGCCGTCAAGATCAGGCTACCTAAAGAGGGTGAGAAGTGGGATGCTGAGACTGAGGCCCCAGAACTCGAAATTCCTGGCGTGTATCATCGATCGATCACTGATATTATCGAGTCCGTTTTCCAGGATGACGTCGCTACAACTTTCAACATGACGCCTTATCGCGAATTCTGGAAATCTCCGGACGGCCGGGATATTGAGGTGTTCTCAGAAGCATACTCTAGCCCAGAAATGGTCGAAACATACGCGGAAATTAACGATCTGCCCCGCAAAGAAGGTGATGATCTTGAGCGCACCATCGCATCACTGATGTTCTGGTCTGATGCCACCCATCTGGCAAATTTCGGCGACGCATCACTCTGGCCATTCTACCTCTATTTCGGCAATCAATCTAAGTACATCCGAGGCAAACCGACTGCCTCTGCGTGTCATCACGTCGCCTATATTCCAACAGTAAGTTTTTTTATTTATATCTATATATCTATATAACTCTAAACCGATCTTCAGTTGCCCGAAGATCTACAAGATCAATACATGGGTATTTTTGGCGAGCCTTGCACAAGCCAAGTCTACACACACTGTAAGCGTGAGCTGATGCAGGCCATATGGGCTTTACTTCTCGACGAGAAGTTTATGCACGCTTACCAGTATGGTATAGTAATTAAATGTAGCGATGGTGTCACTCGTAGAGTGTTCCCTCGTTTTTTTACATATTCAGCCGACTATCCCAAGAAGTATGTACATTAATTAATTATCGGACGCAGTATTAATGCTTCTCAGAGTTATTCTCACAGGGATAAAAAATCTGGGGCAGTGCCTTTGCCCGCGCTGTCTCACGAAGAAGAACGAGGTTTCTTTGATGGGATCGAGGTTGGATATGAAACGACGGATCAGGCGCATGCGGAAGGACGACAGGACACAGCTCCGAGAAGTCGAGGATGCGCGGGCACTCATTTTTCAACTGGGTGTGCCTGTTGATGGCACTCGCGTCAAGGCTATTCTCAATGAGAAGTCTTTGGTGCCCACTCGAGTAAGTTTTTAATATTTGATTGACTTTCTACCTAACTAATGATATTTGATATATAGAATGCATTCTCTGTCAAGCTGTCACCTCACGGATTCAATCGATTTCGAATGTTTGTCGTCGACGAACTTCACGAATTCGAACTCGGTGCGTGGAAGGCAAAGTTCACCCACTTGATGCGCATTTTGCATGCAGCTGGTGGTGATGCCGTCCAGGAACTCAATAGAAGGTGTGTATTTAAATTTTTTGATTACATCTACTGATCGATCTTAATAGATACTGCGCTACACCGACCTTTGGCAGAGGCACGATAAGAAAATTTAATTCAAATGCGTCATCAATGAAACGTTTAGCTGCGAGAGATTTTGAAGATCTTCTGCAGGTAAGTGTCGGTTTCAACTTGCCCGATATAGTTATTGATGATCATGTGTATGTATAGTGCGCAATCCCGGCCTTCGAGGGCTTACTGGTACTGCCTGATGATGACACAGACAATACTATGGTCCTGGACCTTTTATTTGACCTCGCAACTTGGCACGCGTTCGCAAAATTGCGAATGCATACTGAGGACACACTGAAATTTTTTGACACTGCGACGGCTGTTCTGGGCCAGACGGTACAAAAATTTGCGTGAACTACATGTAAGCGCTACCATACAACTGAACTACCTCACAAGTATGCAACACGCAGACGACGGGAAGCTGCCTTAGCTTCCAAGCTTCCAGAAGCAGACCCGAAATGCAAGGCCAAGGAAGTTCCATCGGGTCCGAAGCGCAAGAAGCTTAATCTCAGTACTTACAAATATCACGCGCTGGGAGATTACCCCGACACGATCCGACAATTTGGTACTACTGATAGCTTCAGCACACAGCCAGTAAATTTCTATTTTAATTCACGTGTAAATACATACTGATCGTACTATTTTAAATCAACTAGGGTGAACTTCAGCATCGGCGAGTGAAGTGGTGGTATTCGAAAACCCCCAAAGGGAAGAAGAATACTGTCTCTAGTATGACAAGGATAGAAACCCGGGATCGACTCATGGGTAAGATCGTCAAGGCGCGAGCTGCATTAGCATCAAGAGAAGGTGATGCCAGATCACAGCGCCACCAACGGCAACGCACGTCTCCATCCGATCACTACCACATTTCCAAATACGCGACAACTTCGTTTGATCTCACAGGATGGCTTAGTGAACTACCAGAAGATGATCTAGCAGTAGTGGTACGTCTTTTTTTTTACCTTTTAGAGTTATTTCATCTAATGGGAGGGACAGGACTTTATTCCAAAACTCAAAGATCATCTTCTCGGACGTATTCACGGGATTGAGTACACTGGAGATGAGCATGAATTTACTGATGAAGAACGTGCCCAGATCATCATCGCCAACAACAAGGTCTACGAGCACAGCGTCCTCCGGATTAACTACACTACATACAACTTACGGCAGGAACAAGATTCACTTAACCCACGTACCCGTGCCGACGTTATGGTCCTGTCACACGAAACCGATGACGCACGGCACCCGTATTGGTATGCACGAATCATCCGGATCTTCCATGTGGACGTTTGGGACCGAAATGACGCTTCTATGGAAGAACCACGCCGAATGGAATTTTTGATTGTGCGGTGGTTTGGACGCGACGCGGGTTACCAATCCGGTTGGTCCGCAAAACGATTGCATTGCATCGGTTTTCTCAGAGGCGAGGATCCCAGTGCCCTCGGTTTTCTGGATCCTGACGTCATAATTCGAGGTGTCCATCTCATCCCAGCATTTGATTCAGGCAAGACCGATGAGTTTCTTCCTAATTCATTTGCTCGACATGAGGCAGATCTTAATCAAGATTGGCGGTATTTCTATGTAAACATGTGAGTTTTTTGTACCTATCTACTTCTAATCAATTCACTGGTCTATTTCTAGGTTTGTAGATCAAGATATGTTCATGCGATACCGAGGGGGAGGTATCGGTCACGCTATATCCCGCGAATGGGATGAGTTCCTGCAAAGTGATGGGGCGTATGTGAATGAAGAGGCTGAAGAACAGGAGAATGAAGGTGGGGAGGGAGATGCTGAGGGAGAGGGAGAGATTGAGGAGGACGGAGATGATGAAGAGGAAGAGGAACTGGAAGAGGAGGAGGAACTGGAAGATGATCCCGATATGATAGAAGCGGACGAGGGAGAAGACTTAGACGATCATTTTCTGATAGTGGAAGGCTACGGCGCTTTATAATTTCATATCATGTTTATTCTGATCCGCTATCGATCCATCATATAAATCTTACTTAGTAGAGCTCATTATTGGGAGGCACATATATACATTTAAAATTGT